GTGAGAAATAATTTTTATTCTAGATTACCTACTCCAGAGAAACTTGTTTAGTTTTGGAAATTAATTTCTGTGCGTAAAATATTGCTTTTGACTTTTGGATAATATATATTATCCATTCCAAGTTTTTTTAGTACAAATACCACATTAAAATAGCCCACTAGTTAATTTTGCATGTAGAAATGAAGAACCGAATATTGAGGTTTATGTATTTAGAAATATTTAAATGTATAGTGTAAAATATATTTTGTTGTTCTGGGTTTTTTGGAGTAGATCTGCAATGACCTATATATATATAATTTACGAGAAATTAAACATTTTACTTTTAAATTACTTTAATAATTATTGTTAAATTAAAATAATACCACTCATCTATTATCATTTAAAATATTTTAGAATAATCAGGTAAGTATAATATGGTATACTTTAGTTTTGTCCATACACTTTGTTACCATTCATTAAGAAAACAGTGAAGCGCAATAAGTATCAGCAGTGCAATATTTAGACCCACTATTATTTGGCTTCAATGATCATAATTATACTTATAAGACTTTGAAATTATGCAATTTCGTAATTCAACGGAATAATATTCAAAATCTATATAATCATAGGAATTAAAATATTTATAAATGTAAAATCACGCGAAAAATAAGAAACGCTTAAGTAAAACCTAGTCGATGATATCTGTTGCTAAAATATACCTATATATTATTATGACGTAGACGATGTAGTTATTAACATCATAAGGTCTATATAATATCGTTTTAAAATATAATTAACATTTAACATAACGGTGCAGTAGGTCGTAGGTACACTCGGCTCGTTATTTTCGAAATTATACCTAAACGATTTTATAAGCGAAATAAATAATTGACGCGATGATTTACTCTCGTATATATTTCCCACATTATATTACACACACACACACACACACGCCGGACGACGACAAACTTATAGTTTTCCAAGTGAATTCGAAACTATGGTCAAGTCTTTTCGGCCACATCAAAGGTCCCACAGGGATCCAACTTTACCGTGAGAATCACTCGTATTATATACATTATAACGTACCTATATATTATGCATGTCGTTGCAGGAGGATGCGGTGGCGACGGCGGCGGCGGCGTTATAGTGAATAGATGGAACGCCTCGATATACGTGGTTCGGTATTATATACGTATACCTACACAAAGTTTTCGAACCAAAACCTCGGACGGTGCAAGCGCACCGCTGGTGGTATATGTGCGTGTATTAATTTATATAGTTTTCACCAGCGTTGCAGAGCGGATCTTCTATTTAATTATACGCCGTGCGCGCCACTGCAGCAGTGGCGACGACGAACGCACCGGAGAGCAATTAGTTACGGCGGGATAACTTGCGCTGTCTCTCCTCGAAATCTCAACTCCTCCCCAATCATCTTAGGCGTCGCCCGAGTCCGTATATCGTCTTAATTTGTCAATACGGTAGTATAATAATATAATATTATTGCGACCGTATCCGACACATATATTATACGCGGGCAGACATGTTCTCCTCATTACTCGTAAATTGTTCGGCTCCCGACATTAATATCATTACAATTTGTGATTTATGCGAATAGTTATTAATTTATTATTGCGCTATATCGTCATAATATTATATGATACGGCATATTAGATATTTCGTAATTTACTTACTGCAGCGGCATTTCTCGTCTATAGAAATCGAATTCTATTCGTGCGTATGCAGGATATGATTATTATTATGGTATGTTCATTACATACCGGGTAATTCGTTTAACACGAGACACTATCATCATTTCAAAAACCATAATTATTTTTCTTTACATAATTTTAAGTCAACGTTTTACAAAATATCAAAGTTTTTATAGTTATTGTTATTGTTATTATTTTATTTTTTTTCAATATCAACATTCATTTTTAATTCCATATTCCGGTACAGAATATTTGTCGGATTATTTTTATGTATAAGAACTGAATTTTAGATGAGTAGTTTAAATAAGTTATAAGTATTTAAAGTTTTAACGAACGGAGTGGAGTGGTAGGTACTCCTGAAAATGTTGGTCCACTACTCGGCTCATCCAAACTATATAAATACTTATAACTAATAAACTACTTGTCTGAAATTTATTTTTAATAGATCAAAATACTGTGAATAATATTCTGATTTCAAATATCAAATTAACAATGTTTGATGTCGTTCAAAAGAGCTAAATACTTTTACAAAATGTCGTAAGATAAAAAATACAATTTTTTTTCCAAAAATGTAGCTCTATAGTGATTCAAAATTATCTAAGTAAATGAAATATTTTCAAAAACTTTAGCGTTTTCTGAAAGAAAGTATCTTACGTTAAATGTATCATCCCGTATGTATGATATAGTAGATAGGTCATAGGTAGATACTTATGTTTTGCATAATTATTCTTTCTGGCGGGTTCATGTAACTGCAGGGCCCGGCCGTGGTTTCACTGCTATCTGATAAAAAATTATCCTAAAAGCGCGTTTATGATAATTTATTTGTCGGCCACCCAAGGGGAACACCGTTACAACCACCTCTGAGTATACAAATGAGCGCACTAACGACTGGTCCGAGTCTTCTGTCGTTGTTTTATTTTCTTCATTCGTATGTGCTCTTGTCCCATGATAGCCATTTTAATTGTCGGTCATGCAGTGTTGCATAACGCCTGACTAATTCACCAAACCATTATTATACTCATATATACACATGTAGGAGTTTTAAATGTATATTTTATATAATACTGTGGTGATTTTCACAATAAATTCGACTTCGTGTCGTACCTACCCATATACTTTACAAAGTGGATCGACAGGTTTCTGAGAGTTTAATAATATAATATTATATACCTATTATCTATACATGTATAATATTTGATAAACACATATCTCACACCTGCATATATAATTTGATCCGTTTAATCGAGTTTAACCCGACTGTAGTGTGAGGGAGTGTCACCGCCCCGTCGTGGTATATGTCAGCGATTACTCTCTCATTAGAATTAGAGTATATGGTGGAGCCGTCAATGGAAGTTGTAGTGAAAGGCAGTAAATGTGGAAAAGTAAAATCATATTTTATCGCCGACTAACTTAAGCAATAATAGTCACGATGACCTCCGTTATGTTAACAAAAATAAAAACAAATATGCGATTTCAGCGTCAGGAACAATGGGACCGTTAATAATCATCAAATAAGATATGTCCCTATAGGCACAAAGGGTCAACAACGATCAGTTATTTCAAAATGTGGTTTTACCAACTCATATAGTTGTGTATACCTGGTCATAACTATGGGATTGGTTAGTTTAATGTGAGTGGCTAACTGCCTAAGTATGTATGGCTATTATTATCTTTTTATGAAAATGTCAACAATAAGTACGTATTTTTATATATTTGCAACTATTGTTTTACCTATAGTCTTAACTATTATTATTCTAATTTTAGATTTAATTTTCCATACGGTCATAGTATAATTATGTAAAATTAATTTATCGAGTGACGCCATACAATCTGTATTAACTTGAATCGGTTTAATAAATATGCTAAGTGTGTTAATCGGTATAGAAATGTAGGTGATTGTTCCAACCCTCTGAATTCGTTTCGTCTTGTTTTAGAGAATATTGTTGGTTCGTAGAATCTTATTTAGTTATAATAAACACGGTTGTGGTTGTCTCGTATCAACGATAATAATAATTAGGCCGAACGAATGGGGAAACCATGGGGTTTTGTCTCTATCCGGATGCTGAATTTCAATGAAGAGGTGAAAACCATCCAAGAAAACAAAAACTAAACAAATAAAAAAGAAAAAAAATCATTTGCTTGGGCTGAACACGCGCGTGACTTTATACCGGTAAATCCGTGTCGTCGTCATTGTTATAGTTTTCTTTACCATAGGTATTTCGTATATATTATAATAGACAGGAGTAGACTGTTGGACAATGTGTTGGTATAACACAATAAGTGAATAATATGTTATAAGACACCTATCCAACGTAATTTCCATATGATAGGCAGCATATAATTTTCTAAAATTTCCTAATTTATGTATTTTCCTGTACGAATAACTATTTACCTACAAAATATGAGACGTTCAAATAAAATGAAAAGCAACAATTTTATTATATTATAAATTAAACTTTTTTTCTGAGAATGCGCTAGAGTCATCTGATGTATATTATAATGGTATTATATTGTCAAATCAAATATTTAAAAAAACAATTTATAATAATGTAATATTAATATCTGATGCAGATTGATAAATGGTTTTTAACAGTTAATACGTCTATAAAGACTAAGTGTACGGAATATTTATCAAAAATTATGATTAAAAGTATAAAAATATAAAAATATATTAAACTCCTTGTGGCCATGATTAAAAATAGTTATATTTATATTATAATAGAAGGGGGGAAAATAAAACACTTTTCGATAAAAGTGTCACAACTTGAACGCGCCCTTTTTTGCAAATTTCTTTAACATGTTTATTAATTTTATAAATTGAAGTAATTTTCTTTTCAAAAGAAACCTTTTTAATACTCCGCAACTATTGTGTTCGAAATATAATGCGTTTATCTGAAAAACCTCGCTGTCGGATTTTAAGGAAATTGTTATTTACGCATGTACACCTTTAAAATCTATAATATCACTCATGTTATTTGATAATATCAAAATCATTTTGGGTCCCAAGGAATTCGTGTCAAATAATAATAATAGTTAATAATAATAAATGGCGTGGTGGGACTCATCGAGCGAGACACTTCGTCTACATGGTGGTGATGATATTCTAAAAAAATCATTACACCTGTAAAAATATATCAAAGTGTAGAATGTTGTGACATCGTGGAGTCGTGTTGTTATCGTGTATGTAGGTAGTAGGTACAATATATTAACATTATGAGTAAACCAACATAGTGCGGGTTGAAGGAACATTGTAAGGTACCAGCTGTGTATAGTAATATTATTAAAGGTACCTAATGTGAAAATTGGACTTACCGGAAGCCAGGTAGAGCAGTGCGACAATCAGCTGGAGCCCTAAGTGACGGTGAAGGCGGCCCGCGGTAGACACTAAGTCGGAGCAACGCATCGTGCTGCTTTGCGCGAGCGTTTCAACAGGTGAACGTGTGCGACACGAGTGAGCACAAGAAAGCCAAGTCGCGCGGTTGTATCGGCTAGCCGCGGTGGTTGTGGAAAAGACGGCTCTCATTGGACGACCGGCGGGCCCGGTTATCTCGTCGTCTTAGAGAGGTTCCCCACCACCAACGACGACGGCGGCGGCGACGAAGAAACAGCGCCGGCGGCATCGAAGTCTGCACCAGCAGCAGCAGCAGTCGAGGTGGGTCGGAGGTATATTATAGTTTTAATCGAGTCGAGTCGAAATAATAGATACCCACCACCACCCATGTGGCGTCACGTCGTCACGAACATTAATTAATGTATCCACGATTAAAATATATTGGGCGAAATGTATTCCCGCCCACTCACCCACACGTACAATTAAGACCCGCCAATGTATAATTTTCTCTTTTTATTATATAAAACAAATATTGATATTAAAATATATGTTACAATATCGATTAACATTAGTGCAACATGCTATTATTATTTATCGTAATAATAATACATGTAATCGTATATCGCTGGAGTTAATTGTTACATACAGGTAAAATATTAATAATATACAAAATGAATATTATCTAGCATTGCTCTCAACTCAGATAATAGATTTTATTACTTAACTTATAACTTCCAATAATAAACACCCTGCACGTGCGATATGATCGTATTATCTTCCAAGTTCCCCTTTTACATACAACAATCATATCACTTAAGACACCCGGTGCCGTTGTAATTTTGAGCACAAACATACAGTCTACTGGAATAATGATCTTGTTTTGTAGAATTTACCAAATTTAATAATTTTAATTTTAACTAATATAGGGTAATATTCTACAGGCCTCATCGAACTCCGTTTTTCAATATTTTAATCTCAAACTTTATATTATATGTTTTCATAAATAATACAGTTTCAAGCGCTTTTTTTATACATCGTATTATACATTACTATGTGAAATAAAATACAAAAATCGGTTATCAATGTGGCCTGTAGGAAGTCTGTAAGAAGTTTTCTTTTTTCAGGTAAAAAAAAATAGTTACCAAATCTGACAATTTTACAAACCCCGAGAGTTATACTCATGCAATAATTTTGTTCGATATAATACACACTTCATAATATCAACCCCCACTAAATGGGTATCGATTAGTGAAAAAGTATTATAATTAAGGTGGCAACTAAAATATAAAATTTAATTTTCAAATTCTATATAATATTTTATGAATAAAATGTTGTTTAATATACTCATAGAGTTTTAAATTAAATATCATGAAAAAACTTAATGAGCATATTAAGGAAATATTAAAGATATAATAATGTTGAAATTATGATACCTATTTATGATTTAATCACAAGTTATACAGTTATATTATGTAATATTGATGTCACTAAATTGCCGTCTAGATTATACTGCTGCAGCATGCATATTGTTACTTATGTGCTGACATCTAGAAAGTAAATCAGTAAAATATAATACCTATTGTACAATACTAGTTTATCACACCGAATTATGAGGATCCACATAGTTTAGCTTATTGAATAATGATACTTAAAAAATATAAATTTTTACCCTTCAACAAAATAACCAGGTCTACTAAATTGGTTTTAGAGCAATTGCCTCGAAAAAATATATTTAAAACGCCACTTCTACCACCTATATCCTATATCATAATATAGTATCGAATATATTATTATTATTTTGATACCGCTTTTCGTTGTTGTTTAATATTATAATGTTATAATATCCAAAGTGAAGTGCATAAAACATTGGTTTTGACGTCATTCCCTGTAAAAATGAGCTCACGTTATGATGTTAAATTACAATATTATTATCGTTCGAAGTGGCACAGATATGATTTTTCTGCAGGAAGCTTTTAATTTATTTAAAATGTATATATAGTTAATAATGTATAACATTGTTTCTCATATATTGTATGTGCTTCAAATAACTTAGATTATAAGAACATTTTAGAATTTAATGCTTGGATTTTATTAATATTTGGGCTGTGTTTAGTAGATTTTCTATACACAATCTTGGGTTATTTTTATTTTCTAAGAGTTCATATTGTCTTTGAAATATCTTACAAAATAGCTTAGAATTTTTTCTAAAATCTTAAAAATCTAAAACCATTTCTCCAATCTCTAGTGATAAAATAAAACAGAAAAACTATTTACGAATTAATAATATGTCAATTAAAGCAATTTTTTTAAATTTCGTCTCAACACAATAATTATAATACTTATTATAAGGGATGAAATACAGATTGTTAGGTGACGCATTCAGTGCTGTGCTGAGGAATTGTCAATGGTGGTGTGTTGAGAGGTGGGGGTGCTTACAACTAATAATACATTTAAATTAATTGTGGTGGTAAGCCGAACGTCAGAAATAATAAGGGAATTTATCGGAAAATATATTACCCCCTAAATTTCTCCCTGGACACGCCACATGTATTTAAGTGTGTGTGGCCACTCATATTTTCCGACTCTTTTTACTACAGTATTAGATTTTTAATCTGACTTAATACTCCCTCGTGTTTTTGCTTCCTTCGATCGTTTTTCCAACGTTGACTTACCATGATATTATGTAACACCACGTTTCGAATGGGTCTATTATAGAACAATTATTGTCAAGAGGAGATATTATGAGACCACAACGTTTCGACGTACCTACCACCGATCGATATACTTAAAGACGTTACTTTTTTTAAAACCGTACTGAGGATAATAATAACATTCAATGTACGTAATAGCAATTACTCGCTTTATCTGACACGAAATTATTTCATCCGTTGCCGCATTATAATTGTCAATTACCATTTTTCAAACTGACAACCTTTCGAAAACACAATATGTATATACCTACCTACATATTATTATTATTAGGTAGGTATTTGTTCACATAATCGCGCGTTGCATCCGAATACTTGGTTTTCGAACACGTGACCTGCGCGAGTTATTCATTTGTTACCGATCGATTTAAATGTTCCGTAATGTTATACTCGGCTGTATCACAAACGTGAATAATTTGAAATAGATGGATAATATAATACGTGTACGGCTGTACATGACGTATCACGTTGAAATCGCACGGTTCTTCCAGACGATCACGAACAAAGATAGTTCATAGATGTATTTACTAATCTTAATGCGTAAAGATGTCTGTGAGATAATCTCCTCGGTTCGCCTTCGCTTGCGGATACGATGAGCCAAAGCGTATCATTCATTGATTACGAAAAGTCAACCGGTGAATATATTTTTCCCTACAGACGATCAATCGTGGAAGAACTATTGCATTAGACATTATACATTTTCTCCTGAGAAATTTTCGTGTTGAAATCGGCGTTATTATGTAGAACGCATACCTACCTACATATAAATATTATTTAAACCATCATTGACGTATAACTGATTATTATTATACACTATATTATTATACCTATACCATATAGAATTATTTAGAATATTATGATATTTATTTAAAGTTTCTAATATTTTATCAATGCGCGCATAATAATGATTATAATGAAACTTTGAAATTGTAAAATGCATTTAATATAGTTAATAACTTATACCTATGTATAATCGCACCTGAGAAATTGGTTTGAAATAGTAAACCTTATAATAAAATATATAAGTGTAATAGACACTTAACGAATTAAAGACATTATTGTTTTTTTAAAAAAAAAATATAAATTACGATAGAAGTAAATAGTCCGAATTAAAATGTCGCAAAGCAATATATAGGTATAATATTCTGTATACCCTATAAGTCCCGATTCCTGACAAATATCATAAATTCAGCCGATTCAGCGTACTGCAGTAAGTATAAGTATTCATTTTCAAAATACCTAAAAGTGATTAAAAAATGGTCACAAAATCTTGTAAAACTATTTGTGTTATTGTTCCGTATAAATCTAAAATTAAATTAAATTTTATGTTTAATAATTTTCTATCTCGCAACAATATATTATCGCTAAATTCACATAAATATACGCTTTATAATTGAATGATTCGAATGAATAAAGAATGATTTAACAAGCATTTGAGTACTTGCCTCTGCGTATAAATTATTTATGTTATTTTATCGTGTAAAATGATTAATTATGATTGAAGGTATATTATTTTGCTTATCTGTTTTAGTTGGGAAACAACGTTGAACTGAGTTGAAGTTATGTTTAAACAGTTCATAAAGAATTAAGTCAGAACTAACTTACTCGGAAAATATTGAATAAATTTAACGAGTAAGTAATTCTTATCATTGTGATATATTTACCAGCAAATAACACTAAAATATTAGATCATAATATTATACACTAGAGAGTGCTTAGTTAGGTACCTATATCAAAAACAAATATTAAACAATTGGACATAATAATATAATATTAAAATAGTCGTAAGTTAAGTAATTTAAAATAAGCTACTGGAACGGACGTACTGTAGGATTATTGAATACTATACAGATAAATGTGAAAACTACGTTTAAAAATATTTTCAAAAATCACTATGGGCGATGCTAATAATAATATATAAAAAAAATATTACAATCCATGGAATAATTTATTAGTTTACTCATTACTGTACTAATACCTATGTTTGTATAAAATATTACTGTCATTTTTTATTTTGATGATTAAGTTACATGTTTAAATTATTTTTTATTTAAATCCTGTCCACTATTTAGTATTGTAAGTTATCAGTTTTTAATTATTAGGACTGTTTTTTTTTTCAAAAAGTATTAATTTTATTGAAAATTGAAATGCCATTAACAGTTGATGGGGGCTGGCCCATTATTGCATAGTATGGACATTAAGCTATATACGTATTTCTGTTCCGTTCTACAGAGTTTACCGGGTAATTGGTTATGACTTTATGAGTAATGAGTTATTATCAATGATTAGGGTAGTAATCTATTGTTAATATTGTCTATTAATTTTTATTTATTTATTGTTATATCGTGGGTAGTTGATAAATGATAAAAGAATGATATTGTAAGCCTATTAAGTGCCTAACATTTATATATATGTTAATTAGGTATATTTTAACATAATACATACATAATTTAAATGTAGGTACCTACCAGGTTAAAATGATTT